GGGTGATGCAAACGCCAAAAGTCCGTGGTGGGGAAGCCCAAAAATAGACAATAGAGGACAAGCCTTCGGAAGTCTGGTAACAGAGCTTGGCCTGCACATACTGAATGATGGGAAGCAACCAACATTTGAGGTTATAAGGAGAGGAACCAGAATAGTCAGCCACTTAGACGTAACAGTGTGCACGAGTGACCTACTGGGAAAGATTGAAGATTGGAGAGTAGACATAGGAATGGTTTCATCGGATCACAATGCCATATTATTCAAAATTAATGCAAAAATGCATCAAGGAATCCAGAGAAAGAGTAAAACAAAAATTTACAACAGTAAAAAAGCTGATTGGGTAAAATTCAAGGAAGAAATGTTAGGAAATATAGAAAATTCTCAGTTAACAGAGGACGTCGTAACAAAGATAGATAAAATTGAAGACTTGGAACAAATTGTAGAAAAGTTCACAGATGTAGTAATTAAATCAAGTGAAATAGCAATTCCAAAAATTAAAACCGGGAAGAAAACAAAAATGGTTTGGTGGACCGAAGAACTACAGGTGCTCAAGAAACAGGTTGAGACTAGAAAGAGAAGGATAAGATGTGCCGCAGCACGCAGAAGGCAAGAGGTCGTAGGTGAATACCTTGCATTAAAACAAGAGTATGAAAACCGGATCAAACAAGCCCAAACTGAGAGTTGGAAAAAGTTCTGCGAGAAACAGGAAAGAGAGACAATGTGGGAAGGTATATATAGAGTGATAAGAGGGACAGAGACCAGAGTCCAGGATTTACCACTTCGTAGGGACGGTAGATACATTAGCGAAAGGGAGTCAGCGGAGACCTTGGCAAGAACTTTCTTCCCGGAAGACACTAGTGAGGATGAAACTGAAGACCACAAATTGATAAGAAGAAGAGCAAACACAGTAAATAAAGAGGGACATAACTTAGTCTATGATCCCCTTTTACAATGACTGAACTCGAAACCGCCGCTCTCAGTTTCAACCCGAGGAAGGCCCCCGGAGAAGATGGCATAACGGCGGACATAAGTTGGCACGCGATAAACGCGGCGCCTAACTTATTCCTCACCGTCCTAAATAAATGCCTGGAGCTAGGGTACTTCCCCAAATTGTGGAAAAAGGCTACAATAATTGTATTGCGCAAACCTGGTAAGACAGATTATACAAACCCGAAGTCTTACAGACCCATAGGCTTACTACCTCTTCTAGGCAAAGTATACGAAAAAATGATAATCGCTCGGCTAAAGTGGCATCTAGTCCCAAAAACCTCGAAAATCCAATACGGATTCATGCCCCAGCGGAGCACTGAAGACGCCCTATATGACGCAGTCACACATATACGCGCAAAGCTGAAACAAAAGAAGATACTAACAATCGTATCACTCGATATAGAGGGCGCATTTGACAGCGCTTGGTGGCCGCAAATTAGAGTCCGACTGGCAGAAGAACAATGCCCATTAAAACTAAGGAAAGTAATGGATAGTTACTTACACGAAAGACAAATAAAATTAACCTACGCTGGACAAACGGTTGAAAAAGTAACTAACAAAGGCTGCGTTCAGGGTTCAATAGGGGGACCAACAATGTGGAATCTAATATTGGACCCGCTCCTACAGGACTTGCGAAATGGTGGTGAGTACGTCCAGGCTTTTGCGGATGACGTCGTTTTGATAGCGGAAGGAGAGACCGGTAGTGAGATCCAGCAGAACCTCAACCTAACATTGAACCGGATACATAGATGGGGTATCCTAAACAAACTGAAGTTTGCGCCACACAAGACCAAAGCCATGGTGGTGACGCGCAAACTGAAGTATGATACCCCACGGCTAAATATGAATAATGTACCGATACAGATGGATAACCACATTCGAATTCTCGGAGTTGATGTGGATGCTAGACTCACGTTTAACAGACATGTGGAGAGGGTATGCCGGAAGGCCATCCAGATATATAAGCAGCTGGCCAAAGCCGCGAAGATCGAATGGGGACTAAACCAGCAAGTTATCGCGACCGCGTACACTGCCGTTATTGAACCAATCGTAATGTATGCGGCCGCGGTGTGGGCTCCCGCGACAAATAAAATCTGTGTACGCAGAAAACTAAATCATCTTCAAAGGGGCTTTGCCCAAAAAGTAGCAAAAACTTATAGGACGACATCATTACACGCAGCAACCCTACTGGCCGGGATACTTCCACTAGACCTCCGTATTCAAGAAGCCGCTGCCTTATACGAGATAAGAAGGGGGGTCAGCACGGAAATACTGGAGGGCGAAGAATTAGAGAGGAGAGTGAAATACGTAGATCTCCCACACCCGGCGAAACAAACAAAACTGGACTACAAGATGCTCACCAATCCGGAAGAAATCGAAGGACACGGCGGCACACAAATCTATACGGACGGCAGCAAAACAAGTATAGGAGTGGGTGCCGCTTGGACGGAATGGAAAGATGGAATGGAAATAAATAGCAAGATGATTAAGATGGCGCCCCACTGCACAGTTTTTCAAGCTGAATTGACGGCACTACGAAACGCGACTAGCCACATAAATAACAATAAGCGTGACGCTAAAATATACAGTGATTCTAGGTCAGCATTAGATGCTATTGTGAGTGGACGATCTCTCGATCCCCAGGTAGCCGAGATCCGCCGGAGCCTGGAAGAGTGCCGCAAAAGAGGAACTCATATAAGCCTCTTCTGGGTAAAGGCGCACGTTGGTACGCCAGGGAACGAGAGGGCGGACACGTTAGCAAAAGAAGCGGCGGAAAGACTAAGGTCAAAACCTGAATACGCCGCATACCCCCTGTCATATGTAAAACATCAGATGAGGCAAAAGACTCTAGATGTATGGAATGAACGCTACCTGGGGGGTGAAACAGCTGGAACTACAAAATTATTTATCGCAAATGTTAGAACTGCGTACAAATTAATAAAAGAGAAGCGTTTCACACCCCAGATGGCGCAAATTCTTACAGGGCACGGAGCCTTTGCACATTACCTTCATAGGTTTAAAATTAGGACAAGCCCAGCATGTGACTGCGGCGATGAAGAACAAACAGTAGAACATGTGCTCCTACATTGCCCTATATTTGCATCGTCCAGGCACGACCTGGAGCAACAAATGCAGATGACTGTAGACCGTAACGGCCTACAGGACATGTTAATAAAGCACAGATCGTGCCTGGAACGGTTCTGCGAAAAAATTGTGGAATATGTAAAGGCGGCAAACAAAACCCCAAGAACGGGTCTCGCGAGGAATTGCGTCCCGGCTCGCCCATGAATATTGTTAACAAAAATATTACAGATGTAGCCGGGGCGTCTTTCGCGAGACGTGTGATGTGCAAAGGTCCCTGGACACAATGGCAGGGGAGTAGAAAAGTGATATATTAAAAAAAAAAAAAAAAAATAAACCGATATATTGATTCCGTTTGATTTAAAACAAAGCTTATAGTTATTTGAGTATCGTTCATAAATCAAGATCACATTTTGTGTATTCGGCCCTCATGTAATTGAATGTATGAAAAATATGTCCTTGAAAAATTTAGCTTTTATAATATGATTTACAAAAGTTGGTAAATGTTGTTGACACTTAACAAGGTAAAGACCTTTTAATATTAAATAAGAAAATTTCTACTAAAAGCTAAAAGTATATAATTAAATAACTTTTTATATACAAATGAAAAATTCTTTTCGATTCTACGCCTACTTTAGCTTTACACGTAATAGCTCATAATATTATACTAGTATTTATTCCATAATTGAGCCTTTAGAGATATTAAAGCTTCAATTGGTGCTTTGGCACGCAAACTAGCGTTAATTTGTTGAATCGATACAGCTTTGCAATATTAGCAGGGGATATTTGAAATAATTGCTATGCAGTAATTTATTTGCAAGAATATGGTACAAAAGTATTATAGTGGTACAATTTAAATTTGTCTTACATAATTAAAAGGTAGAATTTTACATAGTAGTTACATAATATATTATAAGGTTTCACTCCAATCAACTTAATATAGTACTTTTTTCCAAAAGTACTATATTAAGTTGATTTTTAGAAACTGTAGTAGGAAGTTCTTTGAATGTTGTTGGTAAATTATTATAAACCTTGATTGCCATATAAAAAGTGTTTTTCCTATACGATTCTAGATGAATTTTTGGTATAATTCCCCCCCTCCCATATCTACTGTTGTCCATTCCCATTGACTCAAAAATATTTATGTTTTTTGAACGCTTAGTTACGTAAGATTTAATTGTATAACAGTTCCAGTGATTGACAATCAAGGATTTTAAAATAAGAATAGCTTTTAATGGTACATATTTGTATTCTTGAAATCTAAAATTTTTGTTACCATACAAAAAACAACATTTATATGTAAAACCTTATTTAGATAATTACATGATCCTAAATGAACAGTATTTCTAGGTAAATCCATAAATTAAAATAGTTTAGGATAGCCAGGTCCTGTGAGGTTTACTCCCATTTTCAATATAGACAGTAAGCGGTTTAAAGATGTTTACTTGGTTGTACTTAATGCCATTTAAAACCATTTTAGTTAACACAATAAAACTCAATATAAAAGTATTAAATTTAGTATTGAAAACACGAATCAAAGATATTTTCAAGTCATCATTTCTGCGCTCTGCAACATATTCCGAATCAATTGGAAACCTGAAAGCTTTTGTAAAATATTTTTCCTGGAACGTGCAATTCCGCGCCAAGAATACTTTTGCATCCAAACTTTGCATTGTTTCAGAAAGCGCTATCATTATTTTTCCTAACTTTAAACTATTTGTGATTTAGTGCCAATAGTTAGTAGGGTATAAAAGTACTTTAGTACGAAAGTGTTTTTCTTTTTACAAAGAGCAATTACTTCTCATGTTCTATATGTAATTGTTTTCTTATGAATTCTTTGTCTATGGACTTACATATTAATTTACTTAAATATTAGATTACTTAAAATAATAATACAAGGGTTTTACTCATATGGTATTACTAACAAATCAATGGCGAGGTATATCAACGGATAAATCAGCAATAACATAAGATACAGCAGCCCAAAATGCAGCACAGTTAACAACATCATCAATATTCTCCACATCCATAGTATCGGCTTCTGAGTGGTGATAGCGAAAATATTTATCATTTTTATTCATCAACGACGCTCCAGGTATGCCTTTATTTATAAAAAGTATTATATCGGAACCAGGATTTTTAGAGACCTTCAACTTATCGACTGGTGTAAACAACTTTAATATCTCAGCAATTATGCACACCGCATCTTTTGACCCACCTACTTCTAAACCTAACGGCTCAAACGTTCCTTCATCGGATTCCATAATAAAATTTATTTTATCCAGCTCATTAATATGAAGTTTTAAATATTGTGCAGCACCTACTAAACCCGGCTCCTCTGCAGTCCATAAAATAGCACGTACAGTTCTTTTAGGACGAAGTTGTAAATGGTTTAGTATGACCGGAGCAAACCAACTTATCATCATACCACCACCATCGTCCATTGCACCCTGGCCGACATCCCAACTATCTATATGTCCAGAAACTATAACATACTTATCAGGATCTACAGCTCCTTTTAAATCTATGATCGTATTCCGAGACTTTTGCGTATCATATGTACTTTCCATTTTTAACTTCAAAACAATCTTATTTTTACGAATGAACAATCTTCTGAGTAAGTGCGAATCCTCCACCGTTATTGCTGCTGTTGGTATTCTAGGGACATCATTATCATAATGTTGGGAGCCAGTGTGGGTGGTGTACAAGGAATATGGAGTGACGCTTCGTATAAGGGAAGCCACCGCACCCTTGCGGGCGGCTTTTGATGCAGCTTGAACCCTGTAAATAACGGTTTCCCCATATGAAGTATAGTGCTCATCAAACAAAACGATTTTGCCTTGAACATCTTCTTTATTTAAACTATCCAGTTCTTTGAAAGTTTTGACAACTATTAATTCAGCCGTAATGCCTTTACTTGGAGTAGAAATTGATGGACCTAGGCCGATAATTGCAACTTTTTTGTAATGAGGTTGTAGCATCTCTAAGGTCTCAGTACCTCGCACCCAGTGTGGTACCTGCAACAAAGTAACGTTATTAGATTTGTATTAATGAATGTTGATTATTTCCAGAGAAACCCTGTACTTTCATACCTCTACTTCTTCGGTAGTAACATCGTTAAGTCCAGATCCAATAGTAAGGTTAATCATGTGATCTATAGAATCTTCCAAAACCTTACTACCGGATGGTCGTGCTCCGTATTTGTCTATAAATTCTGAAAACCTGTTACAATGAACCCAACACTTTATTTATTAATAACAACACTTATCTATAATCAAAAAAACTTACGAATTATACATTCTTGATCCTAATTCATTCTTAATATCCTTGATAATTTTGTTTGTAACATTTTTATAACTTGCAATTTCTTTAACTAATGCGTCGTCCAAATCACAATTGTCATTACGTACTGAATAAGAACAAACAAAAGTACAATAAACAATTATAATTATGCAAATTTTATATTTATTGGTCATTGCGCCCGTTTGTTTATTAGGATCACTTGTATTAACTATGACAAATGTGTAACGAGTGTGGCTATTATCTCTTCTTATCTCCAGTCACTCAATTTCGAACCCGTTATGCTTACATAAAAGGTCAAATTAAAATAGTGTTTTATAACTTGTTGTAATATAATACGGATTTCAATGCATGGGTAATAATAAGAATAAATTCAGTATTTCTTGCATAAAAGTCAGACAGATATGTGTAAAAGTACATATTATATGGATTTGAAAACATACAAAATGGTTAAGTTAGGGCATGAAAGTTACAGAACGTTTGCTAGGAGGTTACCATGACAATCAAACGAAACTGGTTCAACCAAAATTTAAATTGTTTGCATTTATTTATTTAATTTATTTTTATTTGTTGTTGATGTTGGTACTAAAGTTAGTCTTTAAGTTTTACTTACTAAAATGGACCTGTGTTATCTGAATTGAATAAATTATTATTGTTATTACCCTTTAACACAAAGCAAAAACGAACTCATTACAATTTAAAAGAATTTAGGTAATACATAAATCGATTTCATTGCTACCCTTGAAAAACGTCTCTTACGTATGAATGATGGAACTTATTTGTATTAATTATTTTAAATAAATATATAATTTATGACGTCCCGAGCAGTGTAAAGCACTCGAAAAGAGTTATATAAATAACGTAATTCATTTGCGTTTTAATCGTAAAAGTTTTATTTCGATGTGTTTAAAGTGTTTATTTAGGCGTTAGAGGCGGATGCTTATTGCTCAGGCTGGAAAAGAAAAGGTCGAATTTGTCAATTCTCAGACAACGTCAAGTGACGACGCGTCTTTCTTCAGTTTGTTACCAAAGGGCCCTGAGCGTCTTTGGACCTATAGCATCCAGATAGAGGAGAAGGTTGTGATGACCGGCAAAGTGGAAGACACGAGATCCCAAGACCGATCCCGAAAGAAGAAAGTGTTATTACTTAAAAGTTATCTGGTACAGTTAAAAACACATTATGTGAGTTTATTTTTCATTCGTGACATGGGTAAAATTTTACTAACCAAGAAGGAAATTTATAACAGAGAGGAATGTATCTGCCGCCTGGCTTGATCACTTAACATCCTATATTATTTCCTCTAAAATAAAATTTAAATAAAAGTAATTTGGTACAATTAAACTTAAAAAAAAAATTCAAATTTTGGCTCCAAATATTCAAATAGTAAACAGGAATTCCCTTTACCTTTTAGGTTCTCCAATTTTTGATGAATCTATTTCTGATTATATTCATACTAAATTTCAAAATTCTGCTGACCGTCTCCTTGAAATTAGTCCACATTATGCACTTTGCATCTTAAAATTCTGTCTTTTGCTCCCAAAATTTACGTATGTGCTCCGTTGCTGCTCCTTTTGGAATCACCCAGATCTTTTGACACCATTAGACGACTTAATCAAAATTAGCTTAGAATCACTTCTTAATATGCAGCTGAACGAGCAATCTTGGACCCAAGCTTCCCTACCCATCCGTTTTGGTGGTTTAGGGATTCGCAAAATTTCCAGTGTCGCTTTACCAGCCTTTCTATCTTCTGTCCATAGTTCAGAAAATCTCATAAGTAAAATTTTAAGGGCATCCCCTTCAAACTTTGAGATTGCTGGCTTGGAAGAAGCTAGAAACGCTTTCTTAATTGAATGCCCAGGTCAAAATTTTCCATTATCTCTAAATTCACAGAGGAGCTGGGATGACTTAAACTGCAAATTGACTTTTGACGATCTTTTGAGTTGTAGTACAGGTTCGGCGCGTGCTAGGCTTTTGGCCGTGGGTACGCATGAGGCTGGCTACTGGCTTCACGCTTACCCTTCGTCAAATACAGGAACTTTTCTTGAGCCTGACACGCTTCGAATCGCAACCTGTCTACGGCTTGGGGTTCCGGTCTGCGCTCCTCATATATGTCCCTGTGGCAGTGATGTCGACAAGTTAGGACACCACGGCCTGTCATGCCAAAAAAGTGCAGGCCGTTTCTCGAGACATGCCACACTTAACGATATCATACGCCGTTCCCTTGCCACCGTCAACGTGCCAAGTCTACCTGAGCCGAGTGGTATTGCTAGAGACGATGGCAAGAGACCGGACGGTATGAGTTTGATTACATCACAGGAGACCGAAGATCTGGCAGCTACCTCGGACAAAGAATTAGTTTAGCGATTCAAAGGGGGAACGCTGCCAGTATCTTCGGAACCTTGCCTAAAGGGACTCCTTTTAATAATATATTTTAGTTTATGTTAAGGTTAGTTTTTTTTTTTCAATGTATATTATTTTAGTTATTATACTTTGAATCTGAAAAATCTAGGTATTGATTTTGACAGTTTAATTGTACCAAATTACTTTTATTCCCTCTAAAATATTATTCATATTTCTAGATGATACACTATACAGATGTTCGTTACAAAGTAATATTTCCAAGAACTGATCCGTTTTTCGATTAAGATTTCCAAAATTCGCGGCACGTAAGACAAAATAGAATGTATTTGCGAGCAAATTGCGGGTGTTGGAACCCACGATCGATATGTCTATGTGCCTCTTCAGATGATGATAAATTGTGCTTTGTATTTCGTCAATATTGCGGTAAAATATAATATCAAACATTATAGTGGACAATATAATTTTAATGTAAGTTTTTGGCACGCAATGAAATAATAGTATGTTTTTTTTGTTCCATTGCGTTCAATTTATTCCAGTTCTTCCAGTACCAGGTAATCCGAATGAAGGATATATATGTAAACATAAAAGAGGTGTTAAATTTTTAACTAGTTTAATCTAATTTATCAACAAATATCAAAATTATTTTTTCACTCAGAATGTGTCGTTGAATACGGAGCAATAAATGAAACAAATGACTAATTTTGAAATTATCTATATTTTTTTATTTTAATATCGACAATAAGTTCCTCCTCATACTCTTACTTCCTCGAATCACAGCTAGGGCGTTTAGGTTTTACGCCATACAGCGTTGGACGCCGTATACGGAAAATAGATTTGATTCTCAACGATAAACTTATTCAGGTTTAACGCTAACGGGTTACAGTGCATCCAATGAGAAGTAAAAACTGATCCCTTACAGTTGTAAGGGAGGAGGTGTGTGCTTCCTTATGAGTCGTTTCCTATCTGACCTTAAATAAAAATTTGGCGTATGCTGTAAATATAATTAATTATAAAAGTGATCAAGGAAACAGATACAGCAACCTGACGCTAAGATAAATCACCATTGCTTTTTTAAGCTGTAAAATGTTTTCCAGTCCAATAATACTGTATACCGCTTGCTTATTTATGATACGGCGCACAATCGCAACGGAAATACGCGATTCTTCCATTGAATGCTTGAATTAATGTTAACTACGAACCATTGTACGAGTAAATGGAGTTTTTATTGTTATTGTCCTTCATATGACATCGTTTACGCATTGATTTTAATTTCCAATGGTATGGCCTCGATCGTTTGACATGTGGAGTAGACACTCCACTGTGTTGTCGAGATAAAACCAATATCGAAATAGTAAGATTTGATATCATTACATTATTTATTTTCCTTATTTCTTATTTTTACAGTTACTTAATACTAATACAATATAAAACTATACTAAAAACATAATATAAACAAACCAAGTGAAAACTTAAAACCTAAACCTTGCATTGCAATTCTTGTGAATTTAGCCAGTGTGCAACAATATATATTTGTCTCACAAGCAATATATATATTTAGGGTGCGCAAGACACGCGTATATGGTGTTTAGAACTTCAAAAAATCCTTTTCAATTTTTTTTCAATAAGTGCGAGTGTGTGATATCTAAGTGTTTCTAAATGCAACATCTCGACATCAGAAACTTTAATACGGGTTGCAGACCAAGAGCTAAGCTAAGTTAGTTTAGCTTAGCTCGCATAGCTGACGCAGTTTTCCATACTTGTGTGCAGACCGCAAACTATGCTAACTAAGCTATGTGAGCTAACTAAAATATGCGAAGCTAAGTTAGTTGTGTATGCCGAAGCGCAGCTACACGATCTAAGCTAAGCCCCTCCCGCTACTCCGCACACCCTTTGCACATCCTTCGCCAGTGCTGTCCTGTGTTCTTTGTTGTACGCACTAACACTGACTCACCTTTGGCTTAGCTGTTGGTGTGTACGCTATTTATTTCTAGCTTAGCTTAGCCTAGCTTGCTTGGCATAGCTTAGTTTAGCCTTGGCATAGCTTAGTTTTCGGTCTGCAACCGGCTTAAGCAGAGCTATGCTCGCCAAATAACCCGAGCTGACTTGAGAATGCCTTTCAGGCTAAACAAAATCACATCAATCCAGCCAGTCACTGGATAGACTGGTCGAGTATCCTCCCTTTAGGTGGGACACTCCTCCACTAATTTGCTTTTTTATTTAGAGATAACGATTTTCTAATAAGCTGGATTTAAAATTTAGTTTGATCGATAACATAATCAAATTGAAAGTAATACTGCAGTCAGTTAATTTAGACTAAGTGGCAATTGGTATAATGCCAGTAATTGGGTCGATTAGATTAGAATTTAGTTTAAGCCTTATAATCAAAGGTAAGATTTCATATTCGTTTGGTTCTAATTTGGTCGTAAATGGTGCTACGCTACGTGTAACTTTTCTTTATTTTTGTGTAACTCGTAAAAAATATCGTTGTAAAATGTATTTAAAGTCTAAGATAAAGTAACGAGTGCGTATAATGTTTAGTGAAAATACCTAATTTAAGTAAATAACTATACCTAATATACAACTACATTATTACTATTACAATAAATTAGAGTAAGAAAAAGCGTTTCAACGTAAAAATGTAAATTATTTTTAAATTTATTGATCTTTATACGAAAAAACAATAATGTATCTTCTTAAAGAATCATCAATCTAAGTAATAGTATTTAATTTGGATATTTTCAAATAAAAAAGCTCACAATGTTTGAACAGTGTAATTTAGCAATTAGTTTTAAAATTAATTAACCTCACAATATACAAATACATACAGATAAGTATATATTATTATAAACAGAACTTGTTCCATCAAGAGTACACCAAACAATCGACACTTCTACGTAAATACATATTATCTTCAATGAACAATAGCCCACCCAGCGGTTTGATCAATTGAGAATTCTTGACCTACGGATAGAGTATTATTTACAACTCAAAGTAAGGACGTGTATAAAGGATAAAAATGTATTTAATGTGCAAGGTTCTTTTTACGATATTTTTGAGATTTTTGCTCATAAGTCAAGTGCATAGTTTACCAAAGAAGAAATCTTATTCGGAAATAAAATCGTGTAATATTGGTAATTTAGCGGAAGAAATTGCGTCTTATGACAGCGTAGTTCGAGATATTGTGGACTACGTGGTGTCCGGTCCGTTCAAAAGGAAGACCTATGATGAGTCAGTATCGTTGACTTCGTTTTGTTGAATAAGTCTTCATAAATTTTATTCTTAAATTTTAAAATCTAACACTAAGAGGCTCCATATATAGCAAAATGTTATTGACTAATAGCCCACATTCTTTGCATGTTTTGTCAGTTACGTATTTTTATTTAGAACGCAGCATAAAAGTTAAAAAAAAGCACATTAATTTAAATATATTACACGTAATCCATAGATTATATTTATCTATTGATTTTATGATATCTTGTTATATCAGATCTTACTCCACTCATATCCATCTCAAAATGGCGTTATACGGTTCCTTCAAACACATCTTGATAGCAAATGTATTTCCATGATAAGATACAGCAACAAAAAGGACTCGACTTTTATCACGATATCACAATATCTTTGGGGCAGCGGCGAAATGTATTCCGTCGGTTGCTTCCTTATACTCTTTATTATAACTATAAGTGAGGCAAAATCCCTACCGAAAACTTCTGATAAATGTCGGGCGCTTTTGGGCGATGATTTAATAAACGAGATATCATCTTACCAAAATATAAAGGAAGATATATTCAAATATGTCCTGGAAGGAGAGTTTAAAAGTAAAACTTATGATGAGTAAGTGATTTCGTTCGTTATACGTATTGTAAAGTAAAATTGTAAGAGATCTCTAATGTTGAATTTCTCTTGGTGTTAAGAACATGTCTCCGTGAACGATCGAACCTCTATTCTAAGTTACTTGTACTTAATTAAGAGTTTTTTAAAAGGTATACTGAGTTTTTACGAAGGCTTCGTAACTTTAAAAAGTAGGTATAATATTTCTTGCGTCTTGTGTGTATGTTAAGGATAAGAATATAATATTTTTAGACTCGAGAAATTTGTTGACATGTTTGGAGCTCGGATATCGGGGTCGCAGGTGTTGGAAGATTCTATTGACTATATGATCAAGCTGACTCAGGATGAGGATTTGACTGATATAGTTACTGAGGAGCTGGAGGTAAAATATACTCGAAATTTTTTATTTTTCATTATTACTATTGTACATAATATTAAAATATTCTGGTTTTAGGGCTTATCTTAATTTAAGTGTTACCCATGGACACTCTCAAAGCCCTAAGTCAAATTGGTTTGGAAATACTTCAGAGGGCAGCTGGGCCCACATAGTGGAGGAGGGCGCAAAAACTGCCTTAAAAACGCTCAGTTGTGGAACAACGAACGTCGAGGTGATGCGGGTAGAATTTCGTATTTTGCCTCGACGTCCGATGATGAAACTCAGCTCCAGGTATTTAATCGAACAACTCCTCTGAACACTCTCTGTGATACATGCGGTAGAAAATGCAGACAGACCCCCACATCTTTGAACATCTCCACATCCACATCTCCACGTCTGGTGGAGGGAGATGGTACTGGGGAGCTCCCACTTAGAGGTGAGAACTCCATGTGGGGCCGAATTTGTGCTTTATACAGTTGCAAACGATGGCCCGGAGTGCCTTGCCATACTGAGTACTACAAGTTTTTTGGAGGCTAATTTAGTCTTTAAGTCCAAATGACCGTGAAACTGAAAGTCGTTCAATACGTCAAAGGTTGAATTTTGAAGAAAAAAATGAATTTAGCTGATGACCTTGATTGCTCCGATTGGCCAGAAAGTTGGAGATCCAGAAGAAGCTTCGAGAGAAGCGCTAACATTGACCAATGAAACTGATTAATTGTAATCTACTATCAAAATTTGTCTGTTGTTATTGCACTGGGAAGCCTCGAAAATCAATAACCAAATAAATAAGTTAAGTAAAATAAGTGAATAGTAATATAATAATAAGAAGTTTATCATTTCAGGTTCCACATTGGGTTAGAGAACAAGAAAAAATTACTATGTTGGAACCAAGGTCGAAGAATATTGCAGTATTAGGTCTTGGTAGAAGCGTAAGCACTCCACCCGAAGGTGTAACATCCGACGTTGTCGTATTTTCCAGCTTTAAAGAGTTTGATGATGCTCCTATTGAGTATGTTGAAGGAAAAATAGTTCTGTTTAATGCAATCTATACCACATATGGCGAAACAGCTTCATACAGAACGCAAGGAGCTGTAAGAGCAGCTGAAAAGGGAGCTGTTGCATCATTAGTTAGATCGATAACCCCATTTTCCATTAATTCACCTCACACTGGTTCACAGTACTATTCTGAAAATGTCACCAAAATCCCTACCGCAGCCATTACGTTAGAAGACGCAGATTTGATAAATAGATTCTATACCAGAGGCGAGAAAGTTGTACTCAATATTAAAATGCAAAGCTCCTTTGAGACTAAAACATCTCGGAATACTCTTATAGACTTTAAAGGAACTAAGAACCCAGAAAAGCTTGTAATTGTTTCGGGTCACATTGATAGTTGGGATGTAGGCCAGGGCGCCATGGATGACGGTGGTGGCCTTTTTGTAAGTTGGGCTGCTCCTATCATTTTGAAAAGGCTAAATTTAAGACCAAAAAGAACTGTTAGAGCCATATTTTGGACAGCTGAAGAGTTGGGATTAATAGGTGCTGCTGCCTATGCCGAGAAACATAAAAACGAAAGCCACAATATAAACTTTATTATGGAGTCTGATGAAGGAACATTTGCGCCACGAGGGCTTGCTGTAGCTGGAACTCAAGAGGCTCGTTGCATCATTGCTGAAATTTTAAAGTTATTTGAATCTATAAATGCTTCTACTCTTGTTGAAACTGACAGTCCTGGCTCTGATATAACTGTGATAGTTAAAGATGGTGTCCCAGGAGCCAGTCTTCACAATGCAAATGAAAACTACTTTTGGTTTCATCATACGGAAGGCGATACAATGAATGTCGAAAACCCTGAAGAACTTGATTTATGTACGGCTTTTTGGACTGCGGTTGCTTACATTATAGCTGATATTTCTGTTGATATACCTCGTTAAAAATAATAAACTATCTTGTGATTAAACTTTTATTTATAGGAATTTATAGTTTTTATTAGTTAAGCCCATTATTACCAAAAACGAGTGTCTCTCATCACGAGCCTTTACGACATACGTAACTGAAATTTTAGGTGAACTACTGTTAGTATGCAATGCAATCTATACGGAGATTTTCACCACGTCACGGTTAAGGTAAAGGGAATTTGATTTGTTTATTAAAAATTATTAAATTATAAATTTTAAAATCTGAAGTGAGAAAGCATGATTCGTAAAAAAATATCCTTGAAATATGTTTTCTAAAGTATCTTAACAAACGTGTGCCTAAAATTTTTAGTGCAAATATCCGCAAAAATCTTCACAACTAAATTAAAACTATAACAATTTATTTTTAAATTTATAAATTGTTAACTAATCTATAACAAGTTACCTAATCTTAATACGAAAACCACACTATAATGGATATTCTTATATTAAAAAACATCAATTTAAGTAGTTGTATATTGAATATGGAACTTGTCAAATGAAAGAAGCTTTTTAGTGTTAACAGTCGCGGAAATCAGCTATACAATATTTAAACAGTTTAATTTAACAATTAGTTTTAAAATTATTAACCTGACACGTTTTGCGTGAATACATAACTAAATAAATACAGCTAGGTATTTCTCATTAACAGAACTTGTTCCATTACGAGTACACCAAATATTATTTTCATTGAACAATAGTCAAGCGATTTGATACATTGAAAATTCTGGACCTAGATACGGATAGACAACTTACAACTCAAAGTAAGGAGGTGTATGAGGGATAAAAATGTATTTAATGTGCAAAGTACTGTTTATGTTGCTCATAAGTCAAGTGTATAGTTCACCAAGGAAGAAATCTTATTCGGAAATAAAATCGTGTAATGTTGGTAATTTAGCGGAAGAAATTGCATCTTATGACAGCGTAGTTCGAGATATTATGAACTACGTGGTGTCCGGCCCGTTCAAAAGGAAGACATATGATGAGTGAGTTTAAATAACTTCCTTCTGTTAAATTCTTAGTTCTTAACTTTTGTAACCTAATACCAAGAGGCTCCATAGAGATTAGTCGTTAGCGCCATATAACCCGCAATTTTTGCCTATTTGGTTCAAAACAGAAACATTACTATACGTATATATTACATTACAAGTATTAAATATATTACACTTTGCGGATTATAGGATATCTGATTATATCGGATCTTATTGAACTCTTATTCATCTCAAAATAGCGGTATATGCTTCCTACAAGGACATATAATGATATCAAATGTATTTCCACGGTAAAATCTTCTTCTTTAGTCGCGTTCTTCATTACTGATGATCGTGTTGGTGTTGCATATCTTCCTCGAAATAATATAGGAAGGAATGGATCCTTCATGTCTTCTAAAAGCGTCAGCGCTTGTGTAATACTAACGCATGATACGAACAGCAATATAAACGACTCAGTTTATCACGACATCACAATACGAGTATCTTTGGGGCAGCGGCGAAATATATTCCGTCGGCCGTTTTCTAATATTCGTTATTATAATCATAAATGAGGCAAAATCCCTACCTCCCTAGAAGTTTTTGTCTATTAAATGTCGGTCTCTTTTTGGCGACAATTTCATAAACGAGATATCTTACCAAAATAACGAGGAAGATAAATACGTTCTAGAAGGAGAGTTTAAAAGTAAAACTAATGATGAGTAAGTGATTTCGTTCTTTATACATAATTTAAAGAAAAATTGTAAGAGATCTATAATGTTAAGACATTACCGTTGGTTTTAAAATCATGTGTCCTTGAACGATCGAACGTCTATTCTAAGTTACTTGTACTTAATTAAAAGGATTCTAAAAGGTATACTGAGTTTTTACAAAGGCTTCGTTACTTTAAAATGTAGTGAGATATTTCTTACGTCTTCTGTGTATGTTGTAAATAAAAATAAATAATTATTTTTAGACTCGAGAAATTTGTCGACAAGTTTGGAGCTCGGATATCGGGGTCGCAGGTGTTGGAAGATTCTATTGATTATATGATCAAGCTAACGCAGGATGAGGATTTGACTGATATAGTTACTGAGGAGCTGGAGGTAAAATATACTCGAAGTTTATGGTCTTGATTGATTTGTATTCCAAAACAAGATGGCGTCACGGTTCCCCCATATTTTTTTATGGCTTTTGTCCCTTTTATTTAAGAAAAATTCATTTATTGTATATTTAAATTGCGTAGAGAAGTTATATGCTCTTTAAATAACATGAGCTATGTCTATATGCTATGTATTATTCTATTAATATTATGTGTTGTCAAGAAAACACCGGAACCATTTGATAATTTCGAAATATATATCAAACTTTTGATAAATAGGACGAAAATATTTTTTTATTATTATATTGTACAAAATATATAAAATAGTACAACAAACAAAAGTAACACTAGTAAGTCAAGGCGATATAACATTGACAAGTTAATACAATAGTAAGTTCATTTCAGGTTCCTCATTGGGTAAGAGAACAAGAAAAAATTACTATGTTGAAGCCCAGGTCAAAGAATATTGCAGTATTAGGTCTCGGTAAAAGCATAAGCACTCCGCCCGAAGGTGTAACAGCTGACGTTGTGGTGTTTTCCAATTTTGAAGAGTTCGATAATGCTTCTATTGAAGACGTTAAAGGAAAAATAGTTCTGTTTAATCCAATCTTTACAACATATCACGAAACATCGCCATACAGAACTCATGGAGCTGCAAGGGCAGCGGAAAAGGGAGCGGTTGCATCATTAATTAGATCGATAACCCCATTCTCCATTAATTCACCTCACGCTGGTGTGCAGCACTATTCTGAAAATGTCACCAAAATCCCTACCGCGGCCATTACGTTAGAAGACGCAGATTTGATAAAAAGATTCTATAACAGAGGCGAGAAAGTTGTACTCAATATAAAAATGCATAGCTCCTTTGAGACTAAAACATCTCGGAATACTCTTATAGATTTAAAAGGAACTAAGAACCCAGAAAAGCTTGTAATTGTTTCGGGTCACATTGATAGTTGGGATGTAGGCCAGGGCGCCATGGATGATGGTGGTGGCCTTTTTGTAAGTTGGGCTGCTCCTATAATATTAAAAAGACTAAATTTAATACCAAAAAGAACTGTTAGAGCCATATTTTGGACAGCTGAAGAGTTGGGATTTGTAGGTGTTAATGCCTATGCGGAGAAACATAAAAACGAAAGCCACAATATAAACTTTATTATGGAGTCTGATGAAGGAACATTTGCGCCACGAGGGCTTTCTGTAGCTGGAACTCAAGAGGCTCGTTGCATTATTGCTGAAATTTTAAAATTATTTGAATCTATAAATGCTTCTACTCTAATTGAAACTGACAGACCTTTGTCTGATATAGCTTTTATTGTTCAAAATGGTATTCCAGGAGCCAGTCTCCATAATGCAAATGAAAAGTACCATTGGTTTCATCATACGGAAGGCGATACAATGAACGTCGAAAACCCTGAAGAACTTGATTTATGTACGGCTTTTTGGACTGCGGTTGCCTACATTATAGCTGATATTTCTGTTGATATACCTCGATAAAAATTATTTAATAACTTGTGATTAAATTTTATAATGTGAAAATAGTTTTTATTAATTAAACCCATTATGACGAAAACCAAATACCATGTATAGAGTGATTTATAAAAAGGCGAAGGTTTAATCATTACTTAGGTATATATTATGAATAATCTAACTCAATTCCTAGAATATGAATAATATGAACATAAAATTAGTTATTACATACAATATTTCAAAGTGCCATTTTTCATAACTTGTTCACTTAAAGTGTTCCAGTTACTTTGTAGGATAAAGTTATGATGTATTAATTTCAAATCTTGGCACAGCTGCTCGATAGTTAGTTAGTGCAAAATGCTGCACTGTCGTCACACACCTTAGAATTTATAAGAGTTAAATCAATATGTACGGAATATTTTTACTAAAACTTATAATTTCAAACACAAAACGTCTCTTATTTTTAAACAAATAAATGGATATAATTATCGTTAAAACGCATTTTGATAATGTAACTTTTTTAACGAAATTCTAAAGCTATTTAATGTAATATGTATCTTATACATGCCTTTTCTTTTTAACAGCCATAAGTTAATAAGAAAAGGCAAACATTTGAAACGTTGTTTTGTATAGTAAAGAAAATTACAGTATGAAAATTGCTATGAGGCGCTGTCTAAAACAAAGTATTCGTATAAATGTGAGAGTGTTCTGAGGAGTTGTTCGGACTCGTCCGTCGTTCCACAATTGAGCGTTTCTTAAGGCAGTTTTTGCCTCCCAATACCACTATGTGGAACCATCTGCCCACTGAAATATTTCCGAACCAATTCGACATAGGGTCCTTCAAAAAAAGAGCCTAACAATTTTTTAAAGGCTTGCAATGTACTTGCGAGCCTCCTGGCAACGTGAGTGTCCATGGGCGGCGGTGTTACTTAACAGCAGGTGAGCAGCTGCCCGTTTGCCTCCTAGTACATTAAAAAATATATAATACTTATCAAGGAAAAGTTTAGCAAGGAAGAGGTACTATTTTGTTATGAAATCATTATTTTTTAGTGTAAGAAAATACAATTAAATTAAATAAGTAAATACTTACTATAGTGCGTTGCAATAAGTACAATACTTTAATATATATTATTAATAACGATTCAAGTTCAGAAAAATACAAACATAATTGCATACAAGCATACAACTTGTTTTACTAACTATAAGATAAAGCACTTTCTCATATTTTACGACAGTATTTCTTGTATGCACCTTTTAATTTACATTTTCTCTGTAGGACTTACAAAACTTTACTTACTCTAGGGCACTTCACGCAGCTTTAAGTTTCACACTTTCAGTACGCGAGGAGCTTTCAAGTCGAGAGCGCGTCTCGTCGCGAGCCTTTACGACATACGTAACTGAAATATTATGTGAACTATTGTTAGTATGCAATCTTTTTTGGAGATTATCAGATCTTCACGTCTAAGGTAAAGGGAATTTAATGTTTACATAATTAAGATAAGATTGTGTATTTTAATTTTAAAGTCAGGAATGAAAAAGATTATAATGTTGTGTATTACTAATTATACTTAAGCGACTAGGAAGTATTAATTTTATTTATAAAGAAAACATATCAAGGAGCATAGTTAGACATAGCTTTTTTGACGCTGTCTTTTAAATACTAATTTTTTCTCTATAGTTTTATTACATTTTTAGCGATAATTTCAGTCTTAAAGATAATTATTTAAAATAATTACTTATGTATTGATAAGAAGTTAACTGGTATTTTCGTACGTCAAGAGGCCGTTTATAATTTATTAGATAATGGAAATTTTTAATTATCATGATTATTACTTTTTTCCTCAGTAAATTAATATATGATTGTATTTTCAAGTAATTATAAAATGAAACACATAACTACGTAAGCAAGCAATTGCAAATAATGTTTAACAAAATTACTCAAATATATTTATATTTTTTTAAAAATAGGAATAAAAATATGTCAATTGTTTGCTAATTATAGTTAAAATTAACTATCAAAAAACACATTATTTGAAAATTTACGGCAAAAATTTTAAATAAATCTTGTTATTTTTGTTAATTATTTGGTAGGTGTAATAAAAATGAATTTAAAATGATATACTTGTAATTTAAATCTGAATTTGTTTAGTTGGTTATTATAAGAATGCGCTTATCTTAAGAACTACTGGTTCGAATTCAAAACATTTTTGTTTGAATAGTCCCGTTATTGAAGATGGCTATATAACAATTATACAAACAATTAAACAAACAATTAAATAATTAAATAAATTATTATTAGTATTACAAACAAGAGCGAAGCATCAATAATAATACTTTATTGAAAGCTTCCAAAGCGTGTGCTTCGTAAACGACAAAAAAAACAGTTCCCCACTGTGTATTTGTGTCTTAGAGTTGAACTTTTATAATTTTATCTTAAAATAATGCATTGTCTGCCAATATTTTTATAAACATGTTTAGTTCAATCTTAAACGAAATTGTGTTTAGCATCATTTGATTATAATCTTAGGGGAAATCTTAGTTTTAAAATAACTTTAGAATCACGCCACCCACAACCACCAAGAGCAGTTTTGGCCTTGTGCATTCAGCGTGCGACTCTCATACCTGAGGTCGTAGGTTCGATCCCCGGCTGTGTACCAATGGACTTTCTTTCTATGTGCGCATATAACATTCGCTCGAACGGTGAAGGAAAACCGACATGTCTTAGACCCAAAAAGTCGACGGCGTGTGTCAGGCACTGGAGGCTGATCACCTACTTGCCTATTAGATTTAAAAATGATCATGAAACAGATTCCGAAATCTGAGGCCAAGACCTAAAGAGGTTGTAGCGCCACTGATTTTTTTTTTTTAGAACCACGCGTACATTTCTGACATATTTTTTGTTTTATTATATGCAAACTTATATATATAAACCCTTCCTTGAACATAAAAACATTCGGTCATTCAATATAAAATGATTTCATTTCAATTGGTTTCATAAATTACAGATGAAAGCGTGGAGTACTCACGATCAAGATACGACGCTGTTCTGCTGTCGGGCATTACATGTCAAGCATGCAGCTTATGCCAGTGCTCTGTATACCTTGGTAAGTTTGATTTCAGTAATTAAAAAGATAATAGCGTACCAATAACTGAAAGGCCGACAACGCACTTGCGAGCTCTCTGGCAGTGTGAGTATCCCTGATGTTTATCTCTTAACAATTTGTTTTTTGATGTGAAACATCTATAGCCGCACGTAAAACCGATTTCTGGCGTGGAGACGCGTCGCCACGCTATATGATGGTATATATATACAGTCTATATGCAGTAGTGTGTACGGTGTGTGTATTTCGAAGTCACTGATTAAACGAATTAAGTAGTCACGATTTGAAATAAATTCGTAAATTTTTGTATTTAATGAAAATAAATGTTTATTCAAGAAATAGTCATCGTTATCTCCAGATAAAATAAAATATTACGATTTTTTTCCAAAAAAATCGTAATTCATTTTTTCATTTAAAATATTACGACATATTTAGTTCCTATCACAATCTGTTCTTTTCTGCTTTTCATATTACTTTTACAAAATAATGTCGATGTTTCACATCTGCCAGGCGTCCCGTGACGGCTCACATTTTTTTTCTGTATATATTTTATTAAGTACACGGAAAGAATTGAAAGATAATGTGTATAAACATTATTTCTAGTCAATCTAGATCTACGAGTATTAGCTTTGTCTCTCTAAGGGCAACGAAGCGGAATGATGTTTACTGTAACAGATTCATGCACATGAACTAGATTCTGGGGAAATGGTAGATCCACCAGAGCTACAATATTATGGGCAATATTGTGGCTCTGGTGGATCTACCATCTTCTTCATAAGAGTCAGTCAAAACCTTTTCGGTATTAAATTAACTCAAATATTATTTTGTGACTTTAAATATTTATTGCATTAAATATTTGTATAATCATAACTTTTAAGTAATCATATTAATATATAAAACCTATTTTTTATTGTTTGCGGTGGAAGTTTCTCGATTCAAAGGCCAAGACACATTTTAGGACGCAGAGCCATAGGTTTAGAGAGACGTTTCCCTCTTCGAATTGCATTTTTCTTGTCCATTTTAATGGTCACTTCCAATAGAAACGATATAATATCATGATATTTTACAATAAACACTATGATTTAGTCACTTTGGAACGGGTTTTCTCGTAGAAATCATTATTTTGGTTTAAATAAACACGAAAAACACTACGCCATGGTAGACAATCCAACTTGTCGATAAAACAGAGCAAGCGCCAACTAGCGGCCCAGACTGTTTTACCGACGTTTGAACAGATATTGAGGGTGTCGGTTTTTTGTGACGGCGTGCGCGCGCTTCGTAAAAATGTACTCTCATCATTTTTCCCTAATGCGCCAAAAGAAGTAACTCAAGATATATATATACTTATAATAGAAGTAACATCCAAACATTATCTCACGTTATACTAATTATTACTTGTGAAAAAATCGTGAAACAAATACAAAAGTTGTAATACCGATATCTCATATGCCGTACGTTGTGCGACACCAGTTGTTATATTAAAAATCACTTTTACAAAAAAATATACAGTATCCTTGTATGGATTCTAAGAAACTTGATTTGTGGCAATTCTCGTCAATCATAAATAAAAACTTTTGTCTTCTTCATGAAACCTGCCTCGTTTGCTTCACCTCTGGAGTTTTGTTTTTCTTACGAATTGAACAACGCCAAGTCTTAAGAGAATTCAACAAAGTTTAATAAAATTGTTTTTGTACGGAAGCGACAAAACAGAGGAAATTTATATTTCCGCGTCTTAGAATTTACTTCTGTTTTGTAACTTTTACTTGCATTATCTTTCGATTCTGTGGTTGTCAAGTTTTTGACAACAATTTTCGACATAATTAATTTTATTCATATATAGTATACTAGTAGACTCGGCCAAGCGTTGCTGTGGCTAAGGTTTTTATTTATATTACATAGTAACTAAATTATTAAGGAGGCAACGGGCTGCTTTATCGCTGATAAGCGATGTCTTCCAGGCAACCCTAGAAAGGAAAATGAAAAAAGAAATACTAAGGGTTCAAGCGCATAACTAAATTAACAAAAATAAAATTACAAGTAACAATGAAGTAAAATTACTAAAATAAAATCTGAAAAACAAAACTAAAAGCTAATCTTAAAGTTCGTGCATCACAATTAATAAATATTATATGTTTATAATAGCAGCCCGTTGCCTCCTTAATAATTTAGTTACCTGTTAATGTAGCCAGGTGTTAGGGTTAACAAATAAGTATAGTTTAATCTACATGAAAATATAAAAGATATATATAGAGATAGAGATAGAGAATAAAATATATAATAACCTAAATAAATCGTTAGGCGTTTAACGCCTATGCCTGCTGCCAAAATGTAGTAAAATCACCAAACAGCTTTTTAGCTTCAAATATAAAATATACTTCAGATTTAAAATGCTATCAGATAGATAAATATCATGATAAATAATTTTAAGTAAATGTAATATTATTATAACATGATCTGATAAAAATATTTAAGGTAATATAAATTTTATACATTATTTATTGGCTTGCACTGTGGATTTACTTTTACAAATAACAACACAAATCATGTTATATTGTCAAAGCACGTCAAACGTCTTTTAAGGTACCTAAGATGGCCGTTTTGATCGACACAAACAGTCAATACTTAGTTCTCGCCGTAATTCTTAACTTTAATCAATCAAATCGCACTTTCCACTCGCAGGCTAACAGATGGTGTTAGCTAGTATTAACGCCTACATTCAGAAATGACACTGCTTCATTTGTCATGTGACCATGAACGCTGTCTCGATAATATCGATTTGAAAGTCTAAAAAATTATATTTCATACTAAAACTTGATAGGTGCATAGGTACGTGTGCGTCTATTACCGTTATTGATACTACAGTTACTGATCACAAAATGTTATTCTTAAAACTATCCTACCTCGCTAAGTCGAATTACAATACCTCGAAAATTAAATCTTCAATCAACATGGAAGGCGCTTTAAGTTATTTAAAAAACAGCAACATAAATGATCTAATTTACTATAATAACCCTATAATCTTAACTAATAAATTAATATCTATTTTAAAGCAGTGTATTCAATCCAATACTATCACTAGAGCTATCCCGAATAGGGAACGCCTTATTAAACCATGGATTACCTTAGGAATTGTTAGATGTATTCGTAATAGAAATGCTATGCAAGCAAAACCCGAGCTGATCCTCATAATGAAATTCTTAAAATTACATACAGGAGATATAGGAATTTCTGCAATAGTTTAATAAAGAAAGTCAAACGTAAATATGAAAAAGAAGACCTTGCCAAGAGTATAAAAAACCCAAAAACTTTGTGGAAGAAAATAAATACCCTCACTTATCGTAACCAACCTAAAACGCAAAATCTAGAATTACTAAATTTAAATGTTTCTCCTCAAAAATCGGTTAATTTGGTAAACGATTATTTTTCAAACATTGGTAAAAACTTAGCTAAAGAGATAATTCCAGTTACGACGTTACATAATAGAACAGATGTGATTAGACCCAACTGTTCCCAGGTCTCGTCTTTTGTGCTTCTAGAAACTGACCCTCATGAAGTATACCTGACTATTGTGAGTCTCAAAACTGACAGTGCTCCTGGCTGGGATGGTATAAGCACCAAGTTTCTTAAATATACTAGGGAGCTAGTTGTGCCCATAATTACTCATTTGGTTAATCTCTGCTTCCGACAGGGAGTGTTTCCACCTGCGCTAAAACAAGCAATTATTACACCTGTGTACAAGAATGGTAACAGAGAAGATGTTTCAAATTATCGCCCAATCTCCGTTCTCACTGCCATATCAAAAGTACTTGAAAAATTAATTAATAAAAGACTAATTACCTACCTCCAGAAGTATAGTCTACTTTCAGACTCACAATTCGGTTTTAGACAGGGTCTGTCAACCGAAGATGCAGTTACCTCACTATCTTGTCATATTGTTAATGAAGTTGATAAAGGTAATAAATGTATCACAGTTTTTATCGACTTAAAAAAGGCATTTGATACGGTTTCTGTCCCTATTCTGGTGCAGAGACTAGAGAACATTGGTATTAGGGGTATTCCACTCACATTGTTCGCTGATTACCTCAGTGAACGAAAGCAAGCAGTTAAAATAGGTCAATACATCAGCGAACAATCTGACGTCACATATGGGGTCCCACAAGGTAGTGTTCTGGGGCCGACCTTATTCTTAATCTACATAAACAGCTTATGCGATTTAAGAATTGATAGTGGGAAAGTCTACTCCTACGCGGATGACACTGCTGTTGTCTTCACTGGGAAAACTATTGACTCGGTGCGTCGACATACAGAAATAGGGCTTTCCAAAATAGATAACTGGTTAAGAGAAAACTTATTATCATTAAACGTAAGTAAAACTAACTACATTTTCTTCACTAAATACAATAGCGCCCAACCTCAAACAGATCTAGAAATAAAAATACATAACTGTAGCACCAGAGTAAACTGTACATGTAAAACTATAAATAAAGTTCATCACACTAAATATCTAGGAGTGGTAGTTGATCAAAGAATGTCATGGCATGAGCACCTAGAACAAGTTATAAGTAGGATTCGAAAGCTTATTTGGACATTTAAAACTCTAAGGCACATCGCTGACAAACATCTACTAATACAGATATACACATCGCTGGCTCAGTCAATTTTAGTGTACTGTATCCCAGTTTGGGGGGGTGCTACAAAGATGAAGTTCCTGGATCTGGAGAGGGCACAAAGAATTTTACTAAAAGTAATGATGTTTAAGCCTTATAGATTTTCCACCTCTGATCTTTATGCCTCTTGTGGTGTCTTATCGGTCAGGCAACTGTACATTTTTTGCACTACCTTAAGATTGCACAAGTCTCTTAAATATGATGGTCGCAAACTGAGCAAAAGACGCAAATATACTGTTGCTCCTGTTGAGAGATCTAAATCAGTTTTTGCTATGAGACAATTTCAATGCCAAGCTGCTAAACTTTATAATAAATTAAATAAAATATTAAATATATACACATTGAATAAACATGAATGTAAAACGTCGCTACTTAACATCCTAGAAACATTTAGCTATGAAGACACTGAAGCCTTTGTAGGTAATCATGAATCATAATACACTAGTAATTAGTCAACTTCTACAATCAGTCATGAAAATTCATTCTCATAAACACACAAACACACACACACACATACACATACACACATATATCATTATTCACATTTTAACCTTAGATTATGTTTAGTAAATTGTAAAATTGTAATACTTAGCTTAGCTATACGTGTTAAATTAAATTATAATTAGTTGGTACACCTATGTAATGGAAGAGCGGGTTCTCCTAACACAAGTGCTTATGCGCTTAAAAGGAGGTCCCAATCACTTATCAGCTATTGTAAAATCTTTGAGATAACGAATAAAAAAAAAAAAAAAAAAAAAAAAATTATATTAGCGGTCATGAATAGTATATATAGGATAGTTTTCACATTATGTACTAGCTATTGTGTCATAAAGTATAAAAAGGTTTTCAGTAGGCACTAATTTACTTGACGTTTGACGATCACAGCTTTTGAGAAATTATCGGGTTTTATTCAGAGTTGAGTGTGAAAGGGTTCGTTTTTTATTTAGCACAGTTTTGCGCATTGAAACGGCTTGGTGATTCTTTTCAGTATTTTGTATGCTATTTTAAATGCTATCAGCTTTTAAAGTAATAGCTAGGCGTTTATCAACCCTGAAGTCGTACGTTCGAACTCCGGCAAATAAAGAATCCAATTAGTATTTTTTCATAAGGTGAAGAAAGAGAGGAAACCATTTTATCTAAGCCGTCAGGTACAAGGTTGATTCAGTTTTATCAGAATTATGCAAATAAATGTTTTATAAATTTTATAAGTGTTACTTAACCAATTTTTATTTAGTTTATTACTTTCTTTGATATATATTTATAAAGTTGAATAAAATCATTTTATTGTTACCAATCCAGTTAATATTATTAGTACTTAACTATATGTAAAGATTATTTAAAAAAAATCTATTACTTAAAGTCCATGTATTTGAAATCTTATATTTTACTCGATAAGATAAATTATTAAAATCATTGTAGCACTTGACAATTTTAAATTGAAGGCCAATAAAGTTACTTGTGACTGAATACATTTTGAGAGACGGAGTTATTCATTGAAAATTGAGTTTGAAACGAATTAATTAATTTGTCTAGCTTAGCGTATTTGCAGAAGGTTCTGTAAATGGAGATAATTTAAATCTGATTTACTCAAGCATTTAAATTGTATAATATTGTTACGAAGACGGGTCGACTGCAATGTTTTTAGATTTTTCCACTACTTAGAGAACTTTTCAGCAGGCTGAAATGTGATTTCTGACCGTTTCAGGGGAGGGTCAATCACATATTAGAAAATCGCAATTTACATAATGTTACCCTAGTTTTCAGGAGCCTGAAACATTTTTTCAGGGCGTTTTAGAACACGTGTAGTCGAATGGTACACTTTTCAGGAAACCCGTTTTCAGGCGTTTTCAGGCCTGGTTATACCCCTTTGACGAAGGAATGTTCTAGAACGAATTTTCTAGGTGTGGGACAAGGACGGAACGATACGCGAGAGAGAGGGAAGATCGGAACCTTCTCGAAGCTAGACCGAGCACTCTAGAACGCCGTACGACAAGGACGGAGCAATGTGCGAAAGAGATAGCTAGTACGCACGTTCTAGAATTGTGCGATCGCTACTCAGTTGCACTGCCGCCTAGAGAGTTCTCGAACATCGCTCCCAGGGATATATAAGCGAGCCGAAACGCGACCGATTAGTTCAGTTTTGAATGCGATACCAAGCGATAAACACCGGAGTGACAAAGTGCGAATATAGTGAAGAAAAGTGAATACAAGTACTGTGTGAAGTGCGTGTTATTAGAGTAATTAGTGACAGTATTTTGTGTGTTTATTTAGTGAATTTTTGTGCATAATTTCCAGTTTTTAGTGTTAACAAATTCCTCGTAGATTTAATTGAAATAAACCCTTGAAGAGATCTACGGCGTTTCTATCCGATCCCCTAGCTCGTAACATTTTGGTGTCAGAAGTGGGATAGAAAAATGCCAATTACTCCGAGGGAGAATCAAGAGGAGTTTGTGGCCGAGTCTCCAGCTGCGGAGGGAGTGCAGACAAGGGCACAATCAGCACGCGACGCCGCCCGGCGACAAAGTTTCGATGCGAACCGCGGGATGGGCGAAAGCAACGATAGCAACATCCTCCTTGCCCTGCGCCAAATGATGGAAGAACAGGCTCAGACACGTCGTATGATGGATGAACAGGCACGTCGTCAAGAGGAACAGGCACGACAAATGATGGAAGAACAGGCACGACGTCAAGAGGAACAGGCACGACGTCAAGAGGAACAGGCCCGTCATCAGGAGGAACAGGTTCGGCGATTGATGGAGGAACAGGCTCGCCGTCAAGAGGAACAGGCACGCCAAATCGTGGAAGAGCAGGCTCAGACACGTCGTTTGATGGAGGAACAGGCTTGCCGTATCGGAGAAAGATTAGGAGATCTAAAACAAGAAGTGGATAAAAAAATCGAGAACTTGGAATCTGATATGGACTGCAAATTTTCGAAACAGGACAAACGTATTCTCGGATTAGAACAAGAGATGCAGTGCCTGAAGACCAAAGGTGTCATAACGACTGTAGCACCATCTGGAAATCTGAAAGTACCTCCCTTTGACGGTACATCTTCCTGGGGCGCGTACAAAATACAGTTTGAGACTGTGGCAGAGTCAAACGGGTGGAATGACGATCAGGCTGTCACCGCCCTTATTATGGGACTGCGAGATGAAGCCCTCACCATATTAGATACCAAGACAGGTAAAGTGACGTTGAAGCAACTGCTGGATGCCCTAGAATCACGGCACGGAGACGCACATTTAGAGCACGTCTATAGGGCTCAATTAAAGGATAGAATACAGCAGACAAATGAAAGTTTGCAAAAATGGGGATGTGAAATAGAGAAGCTGGTTAGGAAAGCCTATGCATCCTCACCAGACGTTGCAGACAAGATGTTGGTTCAAGCCTTCGTCGACGGTATTCGAGACCGTGAAATTCGAATGGCTGTGAACCTAGGTCACCATAAGGACCTCAAGAATGCTCTTGCTCATGCGTTGGAAGTGGAAGCATTTTGCAAGGATTCTCGACCTAACCGCATTAGGGCTGTCTCGGAAAAACGTAGTTCCCAACGTGGACCCACCTGTTACCTCTGCGGGGAAGTAGGGCATATGAGGTTTTCATGCCCTAAGAGAGATCTCCGAGGTGAAATGAAGACAAGACGTGGGGAGCCCGATGACGTGGATGTGACTGCCGCTGAACAGCGGCAGGGAAACGAATAGAAGCCAGGACCACGGGGCGGGTGCTGGCCGGTTCTGTAAGGAAGGCCCCAAAAGTTATGATCTCTCAAACTCAGGATGGGAATACCATTGTCATCGACGGAGAAGTTAACGGCACTAGGTGTGAGTTAACCCTTGATACTGGAGCTTCCCGGACAGTAATCAGATACCAACTTCTGAAGTCATTTTACAAGAGCCTTTCTGGTGGAAATGTACAGCTCCTTACAGCTACTGGTCAGCACATAACCGTTCGAGGAGAAGGTATCGCTACCTTCAAGATTGGTGGAAGAACATACAGACATGAGGTGGTTATTGCTGACATCGTGGATGACTGTATTATCGGTTTAGACTTCATGAAGCATTACAACTGTAAGATTGACCTGAAGAACGGCACATTCAAGTGTAGAGATGAAGTAGTTTCCCTAAAAGATAACACATTGAAGAACGGGTACGACGTGTATAGAGCTATCATTGAAGATGGTACAGTTAGTAAACAACGAGATATAGTTCAAGCAATACTTGAGGACTGTAAGGAAACCTTGACGAGAGAAGAAATGTCGAAAGCAAAGGGACTATTAAAAACATTTTCTGACATGTTTGCTACACACGATGGAGATCTAGGAAGGACAGGTGTAGTTAAACATCGAATTGAGACTGGAACCGAAGCACCTATACGTTTAAGACCGCGACGAGTACCTGTCGCATATGAAAAGAATATAGACAAGATGATTGCAGAAATGTCAAACCATAATGTTATTGAAGCATCTTCCAGCCCTTGGTGCTCTCCAGTAGTTTTAGTCAAGAAAAAGGATAACAGTTTAAGGTTCTGCGTCGACTACCGTCGTCTTAACGATATCACGAAGAAGGACAGTTATCCGTTACCTAGAATAGATGACACCTTGGATACCTTAAGTGGGGCAAAATGGTTTACAACTTTAGACTTGAAAAGTGGGTACTGGCAAGTGGAAATAGACTCAAGTCATAAAGAGAAAACAGCGTTCTCAACTGGTAAAGGACTATGGCAGTTTAAAGTTATGCCGTTTGGGCTTTGCAATGCACCTGCCACCTTTGAAAGACTAATGGAAAAAGTACTGTCAGGACTGATAGGAGAAGCCTGCTTAGTGTACTTCGATGATGTAGTCATCATTGGGAAGGATTTTGATGATCACATACGAAATCTGCAACGGGTGCTCTCCAGACTGCATAAAGCCAACCTGAAACTAAGTGCAAAGAAATGTTTATTTTTCAAGAGAGCAGTGAGCTACTTGGGGCACATTATATCAGAGGATGGAGTTCGAACAGACCCTGAGAAGATAGTTGCGGTGAAGGATTGGCCAGTACCTAAAGATAAAACTGAAGTCCGCGCTTTCTTAGGCTTATGTTCTTACTACCGAAGATTTGTGAGAAATTTCGCGGATATTGCAAAACCACTTCACAGACTCACCGAACAGAAGAGGAAATTCACATGGGATGGAGAGTGTGAAGATGCGTTTAATGAGCTCAAGAACCGACTGTGTGAGACTCCAATACTAGGCTACCCGGATCAAGATGGTGAATATGTGGTAGATACAGATGCCAGTGGAATTGGCATTGGAGGTGTACTATCACAAGTAAAAGGTGAGCATGAGCAAGTAATAGCCTACTTCAGCAAGTCATTGTCGAAACCAGAACGGAACTACTGTGTCACTCGGAGGGAACTACTGGCTGTTGTGAAGACGCTGCAGCACTTCAGTAAATACTTGCTAGGTCGCAAGTTCCGTCTTAGGACAGATCATGCTGCATTAAAATGGCTACTTCAGTTCAAGAATCCGGAAGGACAAGTGGCTCGATGGATCGAACAACTGCAAGAGTATGACTTTGCTACTGAACATCGCAAGGGCAGAGCCCACGGGAACGCAGATGCATTGTCTCGAAGGCCATGTGAGGAGGATTGCAAACATTGTACAAGACACGAAGGTAGAGAGGTAGCCCATGTAAGGATACTAAGGACAGACACCATTAGTCCAGATTGGTGTGGGAAATTAATTCAGGAAGAGCAACAACAAGATTCTGACATTAAACCAATTCTGGACTGGATGAAATCTTCAGCTATCAAGCCGCGGTGGAATGATGTTGCATCTACTAGCACCACGACCAAGAGTTACTGGGCTCAATGGGATAGCTTAGTTCTTCATAATGGAGTGTTATGTCGCAAATGGGAAAACACTCGAGGGGATGCTTCTCATCTACAGTTAGTTGTGCCAAGATCCAAGGTTCGCAACATCTTGGAGATGTTTCATGATGGCTCATCGGGCGGACACTTAGGAGTAAAAAGGACTCTTCTGAAAATTAAAGAGAGATTTTATTGGATACATTGCCGTGAAGATGTGGAAGACTGGATTCGGAAATGTAAGGCTTGTGCAGCAGTCAAAGGCCCACAGACGAGAACTAGAGCTGGTATGAAGCAATACAATGTCGGAGCTCCATGGGAGAGGATAGCCGTTGACATAGCTGGACCATTTCCGTTAACAGAAAAAGGAAATAAGTACATCATGGTTGTTATGGATTACTTTACGAAGTGGCCCGAAGTGTTCGCTATTCCCAATCAAGAGGCAGTTACAGTAGCTGAAATACTTGTAAATGACGTATTCTCTAGATTCGGAGTACCCTTGGAGATTCACAGTGATCAGGGGAGAAATTTTGAGTCTTTATTGTTTCAAGAAGTATGCCGACTAATGGGAATTCATAAGACGCGGACTACTCCATATCACCCACAGTCAGATGGAATGGTGGAACGCTTTAATCAAACCTTGGAAAGGCACTTGGCAAAACTGGTGGACAGCCATCAAAAAGACTGGGACAAGTATATTCCATTATTTTTAATGTCATACCGGTCTGCGGTTCATGAAACCACGAATGTTACACCTGCTTTAGCCATGTTTGGGAGACAACTTAGATTACCAGCAGACATTGTAACGGGACGACCACCTGACACTCCGGAGAGTGTTACAGAATATGCTGCGGATTTGCGTAATAAACTGCATGAAATCCATGAACACGTACGAGCATCACAAAGCAAAATAAGTGAGACTACGAAGATTAGGTATGACAGAAAGACGAATCACATAGAATTTAAAGAAGGCTCGCAAGTATGGCTCCATAATCCAACAAAACGCAAAGGCAAATCACCAAAGCTTCAAGCTGACTGGGATGGTCCATACACGATAATCACGAAGATTAATGACGTTACTTACCGGATAAAGAAAATGAGTGGTTTAAGAAGCAAACCGAAAGTCGTTCACATAAATCGATTGGCTCCCTATAAAGGAAGTAATGATGCTCGGGACGAGCATGTCTAAGGAGGGGGTAGTGTTACGAAGACGGGTCGACTGCAATGTTTTTAGATTTTTCCACTACTTAGAGAACTTTTCAGCAGGCTGAAATGTGATTTCTGACCGTTTCAGGGGAGGGTCAATCACATATTAGAAAATCGCAATTTACATAATGTTACCCTAGTTTTCAGGAGCCTGAAACATTTTTTCAGGGCGTTTTAGAACACGTGTAGTCGAATGGTACACTTTTCAGGAAACCCGTTTTCAGGCGTTTTCAGGCCTGGTTATACCCCTTTGACGAAGGAATGTTCTAGAACGAATTTTCTAGGTGTGGGACAAGGACGGAACGATACGCGAGAGAGAGGGAAGATCGGAACCTTCTCGAAGCTAGACCGAGCACTCTAGAACGCCGTACGACAAGGACGGAGCAATGTGCGAAAGAGATAGCTAGTACGCACGTTCTAGAATTGTGCGATCGCTACTCAGTTGCACTGCCGCCTAGAGAGTTCTCGAACATCGCTCCCAGGGATATATAAGCGAGCCGAAACGCGACCGATTAGTTCAGTTTTGAATGCGATACCAAGCGATAAACACCGGAGTGACAAAGTGCGAATATAGTGAAGAAAAGTGAATACAAGTACTGTGTGAAGTGCGTGTTATTAGAGTAATTAGTGACAGTATTTTGTGTGTTTATTTAGTGAATTTTTGTGCATAATTTCCAGTTTTTAGTGTTAACAAATTCCTCGTAGATTTAATTGAAATAAACCCTTGAAGAGATCTACGGCGTTTCTATCCGATCCCCTAGCTCGTAACAATATAATAATTTTGTTCTACATTGTTTTTAAAAAAATGTTAAATTAAACTAGTATGCAGTAATGGTTTTTTTTACGTACATTCGTTTTTACAAGTGCTTAAAGGAATTTTTTACGCAATTAACATTTGTATCTTATTTATGTCTCCATTTATGTCAATACGTATTTTTTCCATAACAGCATTTATTTATCTTGACTGCAACTAGCAAACTTACCACTTACCTAATTTTTCTCGCTACTCCGTCAATTGATAGATGATATCCGTGGAAAACTATCTAGTTCCGTTAGTATTGTGATAGAGATCCGTGAGCAAGAACCTATGCTCGGCTGACGGCTCATTGGTCTAGTGGTTAGTACCCTTGACAGCGAATCCATGGGTCCCGGGTTCGATCCCCGGCTGAGACAAACATCGATGTGATGAGCATTTGGTGTTGTGCTTAGGTCTTGGGTGTTTAAATATGTATTTATATATCTATCTATAATATGTATGTATATCCGTTGCCTAGTACCCATAACACAAGCTTCACCAGCTTAGCATGGGACTAGGTCAATTGGTGTGAATTGTCCAAAAAAAATAAAATTAAAAAAAATATATATTCATTCGAATCTCACAAACATACAGGATCAGCACGTCTAAAGGTGATATACAGAAACGAAACTTACACGCACTTACAGCACGAACTATGACTCCGGCATGGCATCACTTATATGTTTGTATTTGAAATCGCGCGAAGTAAATCTTGGGCTTAGTTTACGCCAAGTAATGGAAAACGGCGACTAAAGCTGCGAATCTGGCGCCACCAAACGGATAGTACAGTACATCATGTGATTAATAATACGGACAATAATGATGTTTATGATTACACAAATACAATTTTATAATAATTCGCTACGTTGATATTAATTAATTTTTATGTTTAAAATCAAAATTTCGCTATTCTATTTTTGTGTATGAAAATATTTTTAAATTATTTTCTCCTTTACTCTCGAATTAATGTTTCTTGCAGTTTCAGATGATATTAATATGTTTTTGCCATTAAATTTATATAGCTTCATAAAGTGTTCTCTGTAATCAACCAAAAACAATAGAAACCTGACAAGTTTGAAAAGAACAATGTTTATGAATGCGATTATGTAAACTTGGCTTGGCCGCGACTCGGCTTAGCCCGGACTTCGACCGTCTTACAATAACATCTCGAAATCTCAGCCTAAAAACGTAAAAGTTAACGGCATAATATGTTATGTCGATCATCTTCTTGGTTATATAGAATAATTATCAAGGAAACAGAAACAAAGATCTGAAGCTGAAACTGTTTTATATTTCCATTTTTTCCAGCTTAAATTAAATAACAAATGTAAAAATTTATCTTTCGATATCAAGTGCCGAATTTGCATATCATCAAAACTACTTATTGAGTTGTTATAAACAACTGACTAACTTTGTTTGTTAGAAACAACTTAATAAGTTAAAATGTTCTGGACATACAAAAATGTTCTTTTTTAATAGAATAATGGGGGCAAACCTCGTTTGCCTACGGGACGCCCAAAATGGGCAGTCGATCAAGTGCCAAATTTGCATATCATCAAAACTACTTATTGAGTTGTTACAAACAACTGACTAACTTTGTTTGTTAGAAACAACTTAATAAGTTAAAATGTTCTGGACATACAAAAATGTTCTTTTTTTATAGAATAATGGGGGCAAACCTCGTTTGCCTACGGGACGCCCAAAATGGGCAGTCGATCAAGTGCCAAATTTGCATATCATCAAAACTACTTATTGAGTTGTTACAAACAACTGACTAACTTTGTTTGTTAGAAACAACTTAATAAGTTAAAATGTTCAGGACAAACAAAAATGTTCTTTTTTTATAGAATAATGGGCCAAACCTCGTTAGCCTACGGGACGCCCAAAATGGGCAGTCGTAGCCCATGGACATCCATTTTTAGTAGGTGCGTTGCCGGCCTTTGAGACACTCATAAATATTGATATATATGTCAATCCTTTTTCATTAATGACATTATTCTACATTTTAAAAAATTTCGAGCGAGGAAAGCTCCATCTGGTACTATCCAGGTCACCGGTACTATCTACCAGGCGCCAACTTAAATCTTTAATTAGCACCTGTGCACTTGACTTTGTTATATTTCATGATTAGTTAATTTCAGTTATGCCTCTTTTTGAGAGTGAAAAGTAGGAAATGGCGATATATCTCAATAAAAAACACGAAATTGTGATTTTTCAAATTATTACTGTATTTGATTGGAATACTTCAATGGTTATTTATATTCGATGATGATGATGATGATTCGTATATGAGGGTACGTATTAAATTAATGTTTCGACGTCGTTCAACAGTCGGTTGTAATAGTATATTGCTCACTGGGGTTTCGTGCCGCTCCCAAAATGGAGGATACCTTTAATTATACGTAGAATTTGACTATTACAAATTACAATACATTTGTCAGGCTTACGCAGTTATTGCAGTAATTTAATTTAAAATTGAATTGCAAGCTATCGAGTTCGGTATAACATTCTTCATTTATTTATATTTATAAATAACTTATAGGGATAACTTAGATGAATACAAAAACAGTATATTTGGCCGATTATGTTGATTATTTTTACTTAATAACTTATTATAAAACTTAATAGCTGAACAAAGCAGATAAATTTGTTCTCGAGATATAAAACAGAAATTAGGGAGTTAGTTGGTATGGATGTTGATTTGATTTATCAAGGAGGTCATTAGTACGTCTGAATTGGTGAGGCGCCATCTTTGTGACGACATCGTTTTCCAGTTTGACGTTTGTGCAGGCACTCTAAAATCATTCGCAACCAACCAATACACCCAAAAATAGAGTAGATTGGGATTAGTTGAAGTTCTAGTATGATTTGTCTTCTCTATGAAAATAATTTGATATCTTGTATTAGTTTATGACTATAAAAATTGAAGACCCATAAACCTCATATCTTTTGTCTTTGTATTTTGGCGTAGACGATGACTACATAGATTCGTGATATATACGCTCAGCATATTTTTGTATGAATTGTAATTGATTTTCCTGGAATAATCTTGATGACTATTTTTGTTTTTTATGTAATAGGAGGCAAACGGGCGGGAGGCTCACCTGTTGTTAAGTGATACCGCCGCCCATGGCGCCCTCACACTGCCAGAAGGGTCGCAAGTGCGTTGCCTTTCGTTGTTGCCTTTCAAGAATTGGTATGCTCTTAGGACCCTTAGTCGAATTGGTTCTGAAATACTTCAGTGGGCAGATGGTTCCACATAGCGGTGGTGCGCGGCAAACACTGCCTTAGAGAACGCTCAGTTGTGGAATGACGGACGTCGAGGTGATACGGATAAACTAACAAACCTATTTTTTGTTACAGAATATATCAATATTAGTGGTGCTATTGTACAGTTGGAGGATCGGAGTTAATGCCAAAAAGTATAAGGAATTGGACGATGTTTACTATGGTAAGTATCGTAGCTTGAAAAATGCCAGTAGCGCTAAAACCTTTTACTCGTAGATCTGAACCTCAGGTTTCTATATTTGTTTCGTGACGATTTAAGTAATCGCCACGCTTATAAAACTAAGAAAGCCTGAGTAAGCAAAATGTACTGGCTCGTACAAATTAGGTTTAGTAATATAAGAGGTGTCAAAGTTAATGTTCTATTATTATTAGTATCAATGAATACATATATTTTTCAACTCGAAAGGGAACGCGTTGACCAGTCTAAATTTTTTACTTTACTTCACCTCCAGATCGTATATATACGATGCAACCACTCAGACAGATAAAATGTTAATAAACAAGTTAATTTAATTAATATACCTCTATACGTATGAAGTGCATTAATTAATATTCAGTGATTATTTCACTTGGGAATATAAGATGGATGAATCGCACTGGGCTGTGAAGATTCGTAAAATTTATTTGTGTAAACCTAGTTCTTACTTTTCCCAAACTACCCGAGCGGCGCCGTTAATATGAATTGGGATTTGCAAGAAAATATGTGTGTATGGAACATATTAAATGTTTTGTAATAAAATAGGGTTGGATATTTAATCGATATCGCGGCCTACTCGATTGCGAGGAAGCAACTTGGGCCTGATTCGTAAGTTCTCATATCATTTTTACATGAGTATGAAATAATGAAATGATCATTAAATACTTATGATTGTATTGATGAGTATTTAATTATCATCGTT